TATGCAGGAGTCAAATAATACAATCAACAGGGTACTTATGATCGTAACTTTAGTAACAGCTTCCCATAAGGAGGATAAGGCCCAGGGAATTTTAGGAACTCACATGTCATTTATTTGTCATATATAAGTAACTCTTATGCTGTTAGAATGTCTAATGCCATCTGATTTTTGGAGGATGGCCTGTTTTATTAATTTTACCTTTTTATTTTGAAGACAGATCAGCCATGGTGTCATTTAACACCAGCTGAGGGTAGTTAATTATGGGTCGGCAGAGGACTGAGCCAGGGCCTGCGGACGGGCTGGGAAAGGCTCAAACCTGGCCTCTGCTCCAGTGCTGATCTCATTGTTCTGCATGCATCATATAACTTTTTTTTCTGGAAAAGATCTGGTGGATCCCAGCAAAAGGAATCCAAAAGGAATTTATAATTATGTCGTAATTTCAGTTGTTGAACATCTAGAAGGTTGATAACAGAACAGTGCAGTATAGGCAGTAAGCTTAACATAGAACATTAAATAGCTATTAACCACGGGTAACATTTGAGCGCTGAAGAAATTTGTGAAGCATCTCTAAGCATATGTCTGGATCTGAAAGAAAACACTTGTCACCACCAGCACCAAGTGGTCCATCAGGCCCAGGCAGACCTCAGACTCACAGGTGGGAGCCAGGATGCCCAGACGCTTGCCCTTCCCTTTCTGGGAGCATCTCTGTTCTGCCCACACCAATGTGATGCACCCCTCCCACTCCTGGGTCGGTATTAGCTGAGCAGCTATGCAGTGATGCTGTGGTTGGTTGTAGCTTACCCACCATGTGGCCTTGCTGTGTCATTTACTCTTGGCAAAGGGTCTGGGGTCGCCCACTCAGGACCTCGCCTGGAAGCTATTCTTCTTCCTCTTATTCCCTCCTGACCTCCTCCTTTGGCTCATGACTTCATTCCTTGATGTCCTGAGATCACAAACTGACATCTAACAGGTCAGGAGTTGTGTTTTTCCTTATCACTATTGCAACTAACAGTTGTTCTTTCGTCTATGTATCTTCTTCCTCTTCTCTTTCCTCCCCCTTTTTTTTGTTGTTGCAGGACTGGAAATTGAACCTGGCTAATTCCTTGGCCTGTTTTTAAGTTTTAATTCTGAAACTGGGTCTTCCTAAGTTGCTAAAGTGCCCAGGCTAGGTTTGAACTTGCAATCATCCTGTCTCAGCCTCCTAGAGTGCTGGGATTATAGGTATTCACCTGGTTTTGTATGTTTTATTTTTCCATTAAAATTTGTTACACCTGGCTTTGTTTGTCTTATTTTCCCATTAAAATTTGTAAAGTGTTATAGTAAACTTGATGTTCCTTTATTCTTTCAGCCTGAACTCCTGTTTTTATTCTCTGACTTTGAGAAAAATCTACCATGAATTTAGTGTTTATCTTTCATTTCACTTTTGTTCTTTGTTTAGCTGAGTGGGTGTTAAACAGGTAATCTGTGCACATGGGCCAGAGTCCCCGGGGTACAGAGGAGAAACCTCCCTTCACAAGCTCTGTTCTGTTGGGTGGCCTTTGCCCGGTGTGGCTGCAGCAGTGTGCGAAGGGTGCTGTCACTTGTGCTGTGGCCTCTGGCCATGTTTTCTTGCAGCAGTTTGATTTCTAGTGGTTGGGCTGTTACAGGCAGCTGAGTTAGTCAGAAATATAGGCAGTCAGACAGGGCTGGGCCTTCGAAGCAGACCAGATACTTTGTAACTTGAGAAGAGACACACACCTCTGCTGTGGCCAGACCTTAAGACAAAAGCCAAAGAAATGCAACCACACCTTAAGTATAAATATCAGACATTGATATTCTAAATAGGTATCCACCACCTTGAGGAAGCCAGGAGTCACCATCCCAGCCTCCTTAGAGTCACTGCTCTTTAAGCAAGCTCCTTGCTGTGTGATTCACTGCCCCATTTGTCCTTGATTTAATCAATTTTACCTGAACAATTAATTTTATTGGTTGACAATAGTTGTGTTCGACCTCATGCCCATCTGCCTTGCCAGTACCCATGTTTTCCCCATCTTGGAGCCATCTAACCTCATTAAAGTTCCCTAGAAAAGAGTCTGTGGCAACCAACTTGGGACCCCTTTTGTCTGACAGCTTTTCTCTCTCAATAAATATATTTTGCTCATAACCTCTGTTGTTCCTAAAATTCATTCTTCGATTTTAGAGAACACAGACTCCTATTGGACATATAGTAGGTGGGAAGTTTTGTTCCTCTATATCATTAGGCAGGGGAAAGAAGGAAAAGGGGCCTGCTTTTCTTTTGGAACTTTTCTTTTGTTTTCTTAAGATGCACATGACATTTTCTGATACCGTATGGGTCAGGTCAGGATGTCTAACTGTTCACTGTAAGGGCGCATGGGAAACAGTCTGGATCTTGGCTGTTTCTACTGAGATGTGGAGCTGCATTTTGTGACCAGGGAAGGATGGAGAACGAACCCTCAAGGGATGATTCTGCAGGCTCTGTTCAAACCCCCTCAAGTGGAAATGTCCCAGCTAGCTGAGAGTGGGCAGACACTGGGCCCACGTGCTGCACAGGACCAGCTTTGCCCCCCGGGAAGGGCGGCACCCTGGGAACAAAGAGGCGCTGTAAAGCTTGCCGGCTCCCCAGAGCTGTGACTCTGAATGCTGGGCTTTTTGTTTGAGAAAGAAAAGTTGTTTTCCCAAGTCCTCAGCTGGCCACCTTCTCACGACAGAAACCAGAGTGGGCTGGAGGGACGTGAGCAGGGGAGGCCAGCGGGCAGGTGGCCAGTAGGCTGTGCTGGCTGTGAGAATGAAACAGGACAGGGCAGGACATGTTGCCTGGAGTGGATGTGGTGCAGACAGAGTGCTGGGAGTGGCCCTGGGACCAGCTGCCCTGGACGTCTCCGCAGTGAGCAGCAGGCCCTGGACACTTCCTCACTCCTGGAGTCACTCCTGCACCACCCAGAGAGGAGCAAGAGGACTCTTCTGGCGGAAGGGAAGCTCCCTGGAGCAGGTCTCGCCCATCGCCTCCAGAGGGAGCAGGCAGCTCATAGTCCAAGGGCGGCACCTTCCACAGGGGTGTGTGCTGGGCAGGGCCAAGTGGTGCCTGTCCTGGCTTCTTGGCTAACCACCCCCAGCCTTCATGGGTAGGGCATGGGCTCAAAGACAGGAAGCCTGAGATGCTGGGAGGCCCTGGGGCAGGTGACACACTGCCCTTGGTCAGGAGGTCCAGGCCAGGGGAAACTGTTTCTGCTCTGTGGAGGAAATGAAAGGAACAGAGTGCAGTTCTTGAATGAGCCCTCGGAGAGACTGGGCCTGCGGTTCTCTCTGCAGGGTCTGCTTGGCCTCTGCTTTCCTGAGCCACTCTGCCAGGGCTGGGCTTGACCTATACTGCAGGACGGGGCCAGGCGAAGGCCTTAGCTGGGCCACACCAGGCTCGTGGAGCCTCAGGGGCCCCTTTGGCAAGGGGAACTGGGCCAAGCCCCAGCCTAGTAGAAGCACTCCTGAGAGGTCTGAAGCCTGCTTTGTGGGTGGCAGGGGAAGGACCTGCTTTCTTTCTTTCTTTTTTTTTTTTTTTTTGTCTTTTTCCTTTTTATCGGTACCAGGGATCGAACTCATGACTGCCTGCTTGCAAGGCAGACGCTTATGCCGCTGAGCTAAATCCCCAGCCCCAGGACCTGCTTTCATAGGAAGGTGGCATTGGGCCTTGCGGCAAGGCCTCTCTGGAAAGGGTCCTCTGCAGCCCATAAGGGGAGGAAATCACCCTGGCCCCCAGAGCAGCACTGTGCACTACAGGGGTGCCCAGGCTCAGGGCCACATGCTCCTGGCTGTGCTCCAATGGAGACGTGGGGATGCATCTGATCGAAAGCAAACATTCTGCAGAACGTTTAGGAGACAACTGAGCTGGGCATGGGAAACACAGACCTGAAATACAAGCACCCTGAAGGCTGAGGCAGGAGGATTACAAGTTTAAACCTAGCCTGGGCCAATTGAGTGGTTTAATGAAAACTTGTCTCAAAGTAATAAGAAGGGCTGGGAATGTGACCACCAGTTGTTCAAAATGAAACTCAAAGGGACACCAGACCAAAAATACCTATGCTAAGAAAGATGAAAGCAAGGAGTTTGTGTGGGTAAAGGAGACAGGAGGTATGGGGAAGCTGTAGTCTTGGAGTCTTTCCCCTGAAGAGGTCATCAGGGCGGCTGGACACACAGTGTACAGTGTCCTGGATGGCAGTCCTCGTCAGCAGTACATTTGGGAGATGCTAAAGAAGTGCCTCCTGCAGCTGAGTACGGCTCCTGTGATGCGGGATTCAGGTCTATTCTGAGGAGCACAGCCTGTGTACAGACAGGTGCCGCATGAACCCTGGGTAAAAGTGGCTGAGGAAGCACCCTCTCTGGATGACTCAGCTGAGCCGGAAAGGCCCCAGGGCTCCACGTGTGCAGATCCAGCCTGCTGCACAGGGCGGAGAGAGGCAGGAGGTCACTGGCGCTAGTTGTCATCGCCAGGGTGTGCACAGGCCCACCCTGAGAGGCAGCTGGGATCAGTTCAGGAGATGGAGCCTTGGCCTGAGACGAGAGCACACACATGCTGAGGATGCCCGAGGTTGCAAGGTGTCACAGTGTGGTCCCTCTACCTGGGCTGAGCCCGAACTGCACACCAGAACGGACCCCTTTGCTTGGTAGCTCCCTGTGTGTGGACAGCTATCACTGGCAAGAGAAAAAGAACCAGTGCAGTGTAGGTCTGTGCATTTGTCATCTGAAGTTGTTCTGAATTAAACTGGAGGGGAAAAGAGTTCACTGCAAATGTGACCAGAGGCCATTGGCTGTCTTGGCAGCCTCTCTCACCTATTGTCATCTTTTCAAACAGTGTAGCAAGTGATTGGTAATTGCGACTCTGGCCTCACTGCTGGTCCCTGCAGGAGGCCAAGAGCCACAGTGCACTCAGGCTCAGGAATTGGAGGTGGATGGTGGCAGAGGGCAGGGGCGGGGAGCTGTGACCCCCCACAGACCACAGCACACAGCAGTCCTTTTCTGGTTTATTTCATCTGCTAACATTCATTCTCGATCTAGACAGAAACAATTAGGTGATTATGACCTGCTTCTCCATCAGCAACTCATTTTTTTGTATGAATAACCAAAAGATTTCTCAACACTTTTATTGTTTTTGATAAGAAGCTATAAATAAATAAAGCTTTAAACGCTCCTGGGTTCAAGTGAAACAGTTCCAGTTCCCAAAAAGCTCACAGACTTGTTGCTTGGACAGTTCTGCAGTCCCTGGCTCCCCTCCAGGGAACCCGTCTGGAGGGACATCTGTAGGTCTGTAGGGTGCTTGGTGACCACTGTGTCCACTCAGCCCCGGAGGGCTGTGGGATGGGGGCAGTTGCAGAGCAAGGATGGGGCCACTCTTTCCTTGATGTCCTGGGAAATGCCATGGGCACAAGGAAACTTCGCCCCAGTGCAGGCAGCCTGGGCGGGCAGGGCCATCCGGACAGCCGAGGGCCAAGGATGGCACTGGCCTTGGGTAGGACTGTCTCCAAATGCAGCAAAGAGACCGTGGGGAAACCCGTGCTTCCATGTACATGGGGACAGCGGGGCATAGCTAACATATACCCAGTATGTACAAGACAGTCTGCGCTCAGGCCAGTGCTACAAGCTCTGTTTTGAGAGAGGACAGCATGAGAAAACTGACCCCAGGGTTCCCCAAATCCCCATCTTCCAAGGGTGCACTCAAACGAAGAGCACGGAGCCCGCTTCCAGATGCTGACAGGGCCTGCACATTCACACAGCCACTCTACTCACTCACCGGGGGTGAGTGGGTGTCCACATCTCCAATGTGCCTGCCAAGCCCATCCTGCTTCTGGGCCCCAGTATAGACGACAAGCAAAGACGAAGCTGCTTCTGCCAGTGGCCCTGCTGCTGCTGTGGTGACCAACCCTTCAGAACGGGACCCTCCAGTGGCCCAGAGAGACCGGGAGTAGGAAAGAGGGCCTGTCCCGCTGCAGGGTCAGCAGGTGGCCTCCAGAACTGAGGGACAGGGTACAGGGCAAGTGCTTCCAACAGATATGCAACATGGCTTGTGGAGGCTGCTGGCCAGCCTACGAGAAGGTTGGGAGAAGTGTGGGGAGGCTGTGCACCCTGTGGGGTGGGCCATGCCACGTCAGGAACCTGAGGGGCTGAGTTACCTTCCTGGTCACCGAGAACCGCTGCGGCCCAGGGCAGGACTCACAGGCAACAGCCCTGTTCCCAGTGACAGGGCCTGACTGTACTTTTATGCAAGGGTCACAGGAATGTAGTATATGAGCCCTTGAGTAAAAGTCCCGGCAATGGGATGGCGACAGGTCAGGGAGAACAGGCAGGGGCACTCCTGGTACCCTATCTGCCCAGTGGTACCCCAAGGCCCAGCTGCACTATAGGTTCTGATCACAAGTCGGCGAGTGGCATCTGAGTTCCAGGGCTGGGACCAGAGTGGACTGCGGCAGCTAGGTAGCCCGCCTGGTCACTGACAGGTGGCCGAGGTGGGAGCTCCAGTCCTGAGACCCCTGAACTGCTGTGTTTCTAGGGAGGTGGCTTCCAGGTCCTAGGCACTGGGGCCCCTGGAGGCCAAGGGGTGTTGGGTTGGCTCTGCAAGTGGGTATGCTACCCTGCTGGGCTGCACAAGGTAAGCGTGGCTGTGTGCATAGTTCGTATCGGGCTTGCTCCTGGCCTGGCTCTCCTCTCTTCAGAGTCTCTGTCTCTTTTTCCAAACCATTAGCTGATGGCACAATGTGGGAGTCAGGGCAGCAGGGATGCCCCCTGCTCCAGAAGCCCTACCATGCCACTGTGCCTGTGGCATCTTTCCAGCTTGCTTCCCTCTGCCCCCAAAGGCTGGATATGCCCATCTGTCAGGCCTGTGCTGGGGAGGACAGCAAAGAAACCCTGCCCCACTCTTCCATTTCCCAAGATGTTACCTGCCTTCCAGTGAGCAGGTGTGGGGTCTCCCAGCAGTTCTGAGTGGCCCTGTGACCGGTCTCACCCTGCCCTACGAGGCCTTCCGGCAGCCCCTGCCACTACCATTTCTCGATGATGTGGCTCATGTAGTCCTCGGTGGGCACTCGGCCTGGCTCCTCGGCATCCTCAGCTGGCAGAGCCTCCTTGGCGCGGTGCAGCAGGCGCTCCTCCCGACTCCGGAGGCGCTGCTCCCTGCGCTCCAGCTGCCGCTTGTACTGGTAGCGCTGCTGGAAGAGGTCCTTGGCATAGTCATACAGCTGCATGTCCAGCTCATTGAGCTCCTCGATGCGCCGGATGGTGTCCTCGTCCACCTCCACGCCTCCTGCCCGTGTACTATTGTACTGCATGAAGGGCCGGATGAACTTGAGGTTGAACGTCCGCTCGAACAGGTACTGAGTCTTGCGCTGGAACTCAGTCAGGCCAAAGAAGGCCATGCCTCGAAGGTTCTTCTTGGCGCTCTCCAGCAGCAGCTGGGCGCGCTTGCCCTCGGGGATGAAGGAAAGGTTGTAGCAGCCCACCAGGCTCAGATCAGCCAGCATGCGCACCTGGCGGTTGTTGGCCAGGTTGTAGGGGCAGTCCATGAACTCCTGCAGTGTGCAGCCTGACCAGTCCGTGCCCTCATAGCAGGGTGGTAGCTCCTCGGGCGTGGGTGTGCGCCCATCGCACATGTGCAGTGAGGTCTTCCATGTGGCCCCGCGCTGCACATGCCGCCATTCACTCAGGTAGCGGGACACGGGGTCCCGCAGGAGGGTGATGTAGTAGAACTTCCTGTAACGAGAGTGGAGGGGAGGTGAGGGGAAGGCAGGGCACGAGGGCAGGGTCCCTGCTACATGCGTGTCCACCATGGGACCTGGACAGGTGGCTTTGTCTGATACCACCCGCTGTGCTCAGCTCTTACACAGATGTGTAGAGACCTGCCTGGGGCGGCTGCTAGGTATCAGCTCTGGACAGTGCCCCACAGCACCAGGCCTGGCTCCCTGTGCCTGCTAGCTCTTTGGGGGTCAACCCCAAGGTTCCTCACAGAACTGCCCATGGCACAGGTGCTTCTGATCCCCCTCCTGCCTGGGGAAGGCTGCTACCGAGAGCAAGGGTAATCCTGGGGAAGGACCCCTCTGGAGTGTGGGAGGCCAATGTCAGGTCAATTGGGGCCACCCAGTGGCTTGTTAGCTCCTGGTGCATGACAACCCCCGATGAGCCAAGTGTTTAGCCGGTGTCTGGCTTCATCCTCCAGAGGCACAGGGGTGCACATGGCAGCCAGACTGGCATCTCCCCATGGTGGGTTTAATACCACCTGTGACCTGTGGCTGCCCTGATGCTTCCGTGGGTACTGTTTCAGTGTGCCCGCAGTGTGCCCAAGCCTATGGGTGAGGAAGGTGTTCCCTCCTGAGTTTGTGCACTAAAAGCATGGGAAGCCATTGTTTTGGACAAGGCTTCTACAGACTTGTCTGTAAATGGAAATGGAGTCACTCATACTCAAGCTCCTGCTAAACCCAAATGAAGCTGCATCTGACAATCAGGAGAAATCGGGAGAGAACTAAACAGACCAGTTCCAATCAGGATGTTAAAATGCCTTTTTACAAAAAACTAACTTGCAAATAGCTAAGCAGGTTTTTTCTCATTGGTCCATCTCCCTGTCCCTGCCTTTTCAGGGGGCCCTATGAGGGCCCCTCACTGCCTCTCCCTCCCTCTGCCTTTTCCTCAGCTCTGATCACTGGTACCCCCGACCTTCCTGTGGGATGAGTATTGCTCCATTCTGGAGTCATTAATGAAGCCACTTCAGGATTGTAACCCTGTATCCGTCCGTCCTTGGACTCACTGCTGAGTGACTGGCTCCAGTTCTATCAGTGTTCATACTCTTTTCTTTGCTGTGCTGGGGATGGAAGCCCTGTGGGCTATGCCCTGCCACTTGAGGCTGTTCTTGAAGGACCACTGCAGACCTGCCGGGGCCTACTCCACAGACACAAAAGTCTCTGGAAGGACGCTCAGGGTAGATGGAGGTGATCTGAGGTGCTTGCAGCAAGGAGTGAGCAGGGTGGCTGAGGAGCAGGCTTTGGCCCTGATTTGGACAGGAAGACTCGAGTACCACTTGGACTTCTGCACAGATGGGCACCGACCACAGGCCAGAGCAGGGACAGTAACAACTTGGGTGTCCTGCACTGAACCACAAGGGCCAGAGGAGGAGGGCCGCATATTGAAAAGTGGATTTAAATCTTAGCATGTGGGCCACCAGCCACCGTCATCTGGGCCGGGACATTTAGATGCTGGACAACCCACGCAGTACCACCCCGGCCCCACGCCACCCCACCTGGCAGTTGGCCCAGCATTAAAGGTTTGCACTTTCCTTCCCCCGACTTTCTAAGGTGCAGAGAATTTTTTTTTTTTGGTTTTTTTTTTCCTTTTTATCGGTACCAGGGACCGAACTCACGACTGCCTGCTTCCAAGGCAGATGCTTATGCTGCTGAGCTAAATCCCCAGCCCCAAGTGCAGAGATTTTTTAAAACACTCACTACATAGCCCAGGCTGGCCTTGAGCCTGGAGTGCTCCTCCTACCCCAGCTTCCCAAGCATGTGCCCCACACGGCCCCTGTAACAGTGCCCTTCCTGGCAAATCTGGGAGCCCATCCCAAGACCTGGTCCTCCTTGGGCTGCCTTCATAACCGCTCAGCAGTCCCTCCTGTTCCAGAGACCATTTCTTGTCTCAAGAGTGCACCTGTCTGCCCACAGCAGCAGCGCCTCTTGCCCTCCTCCACCTGACAATAGTGCTCTGTCCTACCCTGGGTTTTTTTTTTTTTTTTTTTTTTTTTGTCTTTTTTTTTGAGACGGGGGTCTCACTATGCGGTTCAGACTGGCCTTGAGCTCACTTTGTAGCTCAGGCTCGTCTCGAACTCGCTACGATCCTCCCACCTCAGCCTCCCGAGTGCTGAGATTACAGGCGTGAGCCACCACGCCTGGCTGCCCTACACTGGTTTCCTCTGCCCACTCCTGACTTGCTGCTGGAGCCTAGGACACCCCAGCAGGAAAGGCCCCAGCCCGCTGGCAGTCCTAGCTCCTGCAGAAAGGGAGCAGCACATGAGCACCCCCTCTATAGCAAGTGCAGCATGCTGTCTCAGCTCACCTGGGCTGCCCGTCTTTCTCCGCAGTCTAGAATGGCCTGGAGCTCTCTCTACAGCTTAGGCTGGCCTCAAACTTGGCATCCTTCTGCCTCTGCCTCCTAGGTGCTGGATTAGAGGTATACGCCGCCACGCCTGACCAGGCCAGGGAATTCTCACAGATGTGCAGGAATCTAGTCTGAGGACAGCGAGCCACGTTCACATGGGTCCCCAAGAGACAGGCTTAGAAGCAGTATGGCAGACGTAGAGGAGGACGGAGCCCGAGTCTGCCATGAGGATGTCCTCAGACATGCCTTATCTGGGTCCATCGTGCTGGCAGGACTGTGGGTGTGATAAGTGCACCCAAAGTCACTCTGAACTGTGAAGCAGAAGCACAGCTCTCTGGGGCTGGTGGAGGTGAAACAGCCCAGGTTGCTGAGGCCTCCCCACTGTACCCATAGCAGGGCTGCCTATGTTGCACTTCTCTTCAAAGGGAGAAAGGACCCATGGTGCGATTTGGCCTCTAGACCTAACCCGTTTACTCAGAGCAGAGGCACCAAGGCACGACAGCCAGTGAACTAGGTATGGATGGCAGGCCAGGTGAGGCTGAGTGCTCAGGCTTTCCCTGTGGCATTGTCCTCTTACAGCTGGAGAGAGACCCAGGGTGTTCCGGAGCTACTAGGGGAACAGCCAGCCATGGCAGTCCTGCCTGGTGCTCCTGGACGTAAGCAGCAATGCCCAATGAGACAGCTCACCTGGAGACTCACTTTGTGCCCTGCTGGCCAGGTGAGTGTATCCCATGAAGAGCTGGCCTGGGCATCCTGCTGACCGCTGTCTGAGCTGCGTCTCAGGTGGCAGTGTTTTGTGACTCAACTATGAGCCAAAGTCACAGTCCACTTCCTATAAAGCGCAGCCAGGCAAGTTGCATAAATAAAAAAAGGAAAATCCAGGAAGATCTGCAGTGGGCATCACTGGGCAGGGTGACTTTAAACAGAAACCAGGCTATCCTGGGCACCATGGGGACAGAGCCCATGCCTTGGACTTTGGCCTACCATGGGCAGTGCCCTCCTGCGGGGAGCTGGGCAGGTTGCCCCTCAGGACTCCTAGACGGGAATCCTCTGGTCACACACAGGCTTCTTTTGCTTGTCAGCCAGGGGCAGATAGTTGGTGACAAGAGGACAGCTCAGGAGTACTTACAGTGTGGTCTCCCCCTGCAGGGAACCCAGATGGGGGAAGCTGAGGCAGCGGGTATGTGTACAGAGCAGGCAGTGGAGGGATGAGGGATGCTGGGAGTCCTCATGTGGGGCCCTTCAACTCTGCCCACAGTCAGGCTGCCAGGTGAGGATGTGGGGAGCTCAGGGTGTGCTGCCCAGCAAGATGAGCCGGGCTTTGGGCCAACCTATCCTCAGGGCCTCCAGCACACGAGGGTCCGGAAGGCTCTGGGAGTGCCTTCCTAGTCTGTCCCGTCGTTCAGGCTGGCTCCACCTGGACTCACTGGCTCCCTGCCAGGTAACAGCAGCTGCTTCCGGCTTCCTTCCCCCAGTGACTGGCTGGGAAGAAGGTGACAGCCTTTCCCTGTCTCTCAGTGCCTCAGCCTCCACCCAGGGTGTGGACTCTTGCTGCAGTGGCAGGTGCCCCTGGATTCCCACAAAAGGCCTGGTTTGGGAGTTTGTGTGCCACTTCCCAAACATTAGAGGAGCTAGGGAGGTCTCCAGGAGGAGATGATCTGGGCAGTGTCTCTGCACAACTGCACCTTTAGGTCAGTGCTATTACAGCCACCTGTCCTGCCTGTCCCATGACAGGCCAGACAGGGCAGGGCTACAGGTATGCAGTGCAGAGCCTGCTCCCTCCCGATGAGGAAGTGGACACCTCCCAGTATTCTGGCTCAGGAGCTACTTCTGGCCACAAAACACCCTTCCCTGCCAGCCTGGCTGGGGGGGGTACCAGTGTACCCCCTGGGAACAGGCCCTCCTCAGCTCTGTGTTAGGGCCCACAACAGGGCTCCTTCTTTCTCTGGGGCTTCCCTCCCATCTGTTGCCATCTGTTCCCAGGTCTCTGCCATCTGTTCCGCACACATGCCTGTGAACTCTGCTCTGCCCTTGCCGGACAGGCCAGCACCCACACCACAGAGGAGGCACGGCCACCTCTCCCAGGACAACATGGCCAGCATGTGAACAAGGTGACCGCTTGGCTAGCTGCTCCCACCCAGGCCTCTCGAGATCAGTCCAGGTTCGGAAACTGACCTCTGGCTTCCAGCAAACACAGCACGACCAAGTACCATGGAGACCAAGTACCACGGAGTGCTTGTCAACCTACCCAGTGGCCACCTGGGCCTGACTGCTGTCCTGGAACATGTGCGAGGGTGGTGGTGGTGGTGAGGGCTGCCCCACTACACATAGGGCAGAGGTGAGCAGGGTCCATCTGGGTGGGACAGAGAGCAGAAGCCAGGGGCCAATGCAGCTGGTTGGCTCTTCTCCTCTTGGGGGGCTTCTCAGCCTACCCACTCCCCAAGACACAGGCATAAAACGAGGCAGAGGCAGGAGGATCACAAGTTTTAGGTCACCCAGCAAGACCCTGTCCTAAACTAAACCAAACCAAGTAAGGCTGGGGGTGTGGCTCAGTGGTAGAAGGCCCCTAGGCGTGACCCCCAGTATCACAAATAAAATTAATAAAATAAAAG